GTCAGTGTTTTCTCTGTGGTTTTGAAGGTCAAGGAAGGGGGCAGACGGTAGATAAGAAGCAAGGTTTCAGCGTAGGGCCATCAGTCACAATCAGGACCAAGCGGAATTAGGGCTGAGGCCGGTCTGTCCAATACTGCAATCTCAACTGGTCTGTCCACTACTGCCATCTAAACTGGTCTGTCCACTACTGCCATCTCAACTGGTCTGTCCACTACTGCCATCTCAACTGGTCTGTCCACTACTGCCATCTCAACTTGTCTTCTGTACTCTACCACCTTCTCAAGTGACTATTATTCTTCTACCTAGGGCTGAGGCCGGTCGGTCCAATACTGCAATCTCAACTGGTCTGTCCACTACTGCCATCTAAGCTGGTCTGTCCACTACTGCCATCTCAACTGGTCTGTCCACTACTGCCATCTCAACTGGTCTGTCCACTACTGCCATCTCAACTGGTCTTCTGTCCACTACTGCCATCTCAACTGGTCTGTCCACTACTGCCATCTCAACTGGTCTGTCCACTACTGCCATCTCAACTGGTCTGTCCACTACTGCCCTCTCAACTTGTCTGTAAAACACTGCGGGCTCCATTTGAAAATTTCATTAAAAACTAAATTTTAAAAAAAATAAATAATACACATTTCAATAGGCCACGGTGGTGTTCAACTAATACAGTGACTAATATTTATGTATCAATAAAATCAACTTTTACAATAGTTATATGTTAAAAGTTCACTAGAGCAAGGGATCTCAACAACCATATGAAGCATCCACTAGGCTAAAAAGGCTACACCCTAAAAGTGATTAGGCCTATATAAAGGCCTGTGGGACTCAAAATGGTTGGGAACCACTGCACTAGAGCATTAGCCAATAATATATTTCACACTGAAAGCATTAATTTGCTATGTACTATGATCAGTGAATATTCAATGGTGACAGGTGGATAAGACAAATGTTGTGAACTAGTTTGTTGTAAATGTTGGGTAAGGAGAGTCGTGAGAGTGTTTTGTGAGTTGTTGATCGTGAGGTCAGAGCGTAAAGTTAGTCCGTGGTGTGGAACGTTAGTGTAGGCTGAGTTGTTGTGTGGTATTATAACAGGGATGTGTGTTAGCTAGAGGTCAGAGAGAGAGAAGGAAGGTAGAAGAGCAAGAGAATTGTAAGTCGTCGAAAGTTGTCAGTTAAGAATTAGTCAGTAGCGACAGGAGCGAGTGGATAATTGGTAGTTTGGACTGATGAGTATCCTGTTTTGTAAAGAATCTAATAAATAGTATATATTGTTACACTTTACCTTTGTGTTGTATTTGAGATTCATACACCCTAGACAACGCAAGAGGGCCGTAACACTTCAAGGATAACAAAGGTCGTAACAACAAATCACGGTGAAATAAGCTTCGAGGTAAGGGAGAAAATTTTATATATGCTCTTCAAATATAATGTCGGAGATAAAGTGAATAGGAGACAAGTACAGCCCCGAAACTGGTCGTAGGATAGGTTTAGAAACTGCTCATGAATCAGCATTAGCAGGCCATGTCAGTCAGCAGGCCATTATATATTTATATATTTATATATATATTTATATATATAT